TTTGATTCGTAAAGACTCAAATAGTCACATGCTAGGTTTAGGGGTAATTCCCCTATTTGTCGTGAAATCAGGTTTAAATCCTTTGACCATTCTTTTATGTGCTTTCGCCTAGCACCTCTTCACTCTATCACCTTTCTCTTTGTTCTTTATCGTTCTCCTTCTTCCCATGATTGCACTCTTTTAGATGTTATCTCTGATCAAATTGACCATGCCCTCTCTCTTTATCCCTCTACCAATATTGTTGTTGTTGGTGATTTTAATGCCCATCACACTGAATGGCTTGGCTCTAACACCACTGATCCTGCTGGCACTAAAGCCTTTAACTTCTGCGTTTCTCAATCTCTTACTCAGATAGTTAACTTTGTGACTCGTTTTCCTGACAACCCTAATCATTTACCTTCACTCCTTGACTTATGTCTTGTCTCTGACCCTAGCTTATGTTCAGTTTCTCCCTTTTCTCCCTCAGGTGGTTCTGACCATGCAATGATCTCTATAAATCTTTCTTCTCGTACTTCTTTTTTGGGCTCACCTTATCATCGCACCACCTACTACTACCCTAAAGCTGACTGGGATTCCTTTTGTGATTTTCTTCGTGATGGTCCTTGGGCTGATGTTTTTTCTCTCTCAGCTGACAAACGTGCCTCCTACGTAACCTCCTGGATTCAGGCTGGAATGGAAGCTTTTATTCCTTCTCGTCGGTTTCAAGTCAAGCCTCATTCTACTCCATGGTTTTCTCCTTCTTGTGCGGCTGCTATATCCAATCGTAACCATTTTTTTCATCTTTTTCAAAAGAACAACTCTCTTGAGAACAAACGGCTATTTATTATTGCAAGAAATCGATGTAAAAAGGTGCTTTCTGATGCTAAACTCCATTATTCTCAGTTCACTAAATCTCGCATCTTATCGCAGAAGTTAGGCTCTTGTTAACAATGCTGTTGAAGATTTTCCAAAAGTCTAAAGACTTTTGGAAAATCTTCAACAGCATTGTTAACAAGGGTAGATTTAACATTCCATCTCTCATTCATGGAACTGATCTTGTTACCTCTCCCAGGGATAAGGCAGAACTGTTTGCAAAGAACTTTTCTTCTAATTCCACTCTTGAATCTTATGGACATTCTCTTCCTTCCATTCCATTCCATTGTTAGACATTTAAATCACTCCAGCTTCTGTTGCTAAAGTCATATCTCAATTAAACTCGTCTACAGCTTGTGGTCCAGACAACATTCCTGTCACAGTCTTGCAGAATTGTTCTCCAGAACTTTCTTCAATTCTCTCTAAACTATTTAACAAGTGTTTGACTGAGTCTTGTTTTCCTGCTTGTTGGAAAATGGCATCTGTGGTTCCAATATTCAAAAACTCTGGAGAAAATTCTGACCCCTCCAATTATCCTCCGATCAGTCTTTTTTCTGTTATTAGCAAGGTCTTTGAGTCTTTGATCAACAAATTCCTCACATCTCATCATGAGTCAAATAAACTGCTGTCAGACAATCAATACGGTTTTCGATCCTCTCGCTCTACGGCCGACTTGCTAACTGCTGTAACTGAAAGATTTTATCGTGCATTAGATGGAGGCGGTGAGGCTAGGGCTATTGCTCTCGACATATCTAAAGCTTTCGACAAAGTTTGGCATGCTGGTCTTCTCCATAAGCTTGCTTCATATGGTGTTTCTGGGAAAGTTTTTGAGATTATCAAATCATTTCTTTCTAACCAGTTTATTAAAGTCATCCTTGAAGGCCAACACTCTTCTTTATTTCTAGTAACTTCTAGGGTTCCCCAAGGTTCCATCCTGGGCCCTGTTTTGTTTCTTATCTACATAAACGATCTTCCTGACAACCTTTCATCTAAAGTAGCTCTTTTTGCTGATGACTCAACTTTATACTCCTGTCTTGACAAAAAGTCTTCTCTTTTCGATCGCCTAGAACAAGCAGCTGATCTTGAATCTGATCTCACTTCAGTAATAGATTGGGGTTCACAGTGGCTTGTGAATTTCAACTCTAAAAAAACCCAATTGCTTACTGCAAACAACTACCGTAATATGGTCAACATTCCTATATTAATGAATGGCAATCCTCTTACTGAGTCGTCCTCTTTACGTCTTCTTGGATTATCGCTTACTACTGACCTTTCATGGAAACCATATATACAATCGATTGCTAAATTAGCTTCTGCTAAGGTTGCTTCTCTTTATCGTGCTCGCCATTTCCTTACTTCTGATTCCATTCTCTATCTCTACAAATCTCTTATTCGTCCCTGTATGGAATACTGTTGTCATATTTGGGCTGGTTCTTCTAACGATTCACTCTCTCTTCTTGACTAGGTCCAAAAACGCATTGTAAATGTTGTTGGACCTGGACTATCTGCTAAGCTTGAACCTCTTTCCCATCGTTGTAAAGTTGCATCTCTTTCTCTTTTCTACAGATACTATCATGGTCACTGCTCAAAGGAGTTATTATCTCTAGTTCCATCAACTAAAATTCATTCTCGTTTTACTCATCATTCAGCTAAGTCTCATTCGTTTTCTGTATCTGTCCCTGCATGCTCTAAAAACTTTTATTCATCTAGTTTTTTTCCCCGCACTTCAATCCTTTGGAACTCTCTCCCGTCTTCATGTTTTCCTGACTCATACAACCTTCAACTTTTAAAGTCTTCTGTCAACCGTTTCCTTGCTCTATAACTCTGTTCTTTTTTTTTCCTAGTAACTCCCAACTTAATAGTGGTTGCTTGCAGCCTTGTTGGGAGTGAATGCAAATAAAAAAAATATATATATATATAAAATTGTCAGTAAATGAGCAAAATGTTTTTACACTTTTGGCATCAAAATTACCATGTATTTCCAATATTGAATTGTATTTCAACAATGATTTTATGTACGCCTGCAAGACGTGCACCAAGTGAACGCCTTTTCTCTGACGCATTAAACACTTATGCATGCAAAAGCGAAGTGTATGCAAACTTATACTTATATATGCAAAGCGAAACAGAATAACAACTGAATGTGTTTAAAAAAAAGATAAATAAAAAATTGAAAATTAAAAAAATTAATGTGTGATTTTAATGTTCTTGAGTGTGCAGTTTTATCATAATGTTGCCTAAAACAGGAAACTTTTTTTTTTACCTTTATTATTTTTATAGTTTGATTTTTTTTTTTAAATATTTATTTATATATTCTTTAGTATATTTTTAAACATCTATCTAATAATAAAAAAGTTATTGAATTTTAATTGATAATTGTTTTAACCCGGTTTTACACATATTTTTAAGTGCTTAAAAACCACGTATTGCATTTTTCAAGTAATTAAAATGTCATAAGCAATTTCCTGGTTTTAAAAGCGACCGCAGTTACTTAATAAAATGTTTTCGTTATTCAATAGTTAAGTATTATTTAATACATTTTATACACTATTCAACAACCTATATTGCGGATATAGCATTCTAAAATGCAAATACCAATCTTCCTTTTAAATTTTGCAAGTATCGCCAACCAACAAACAACTATACTCTGAAAGCAATATATGTATTTATAATAACTTATTTAACGATTACCTTTTGGGTTCATGTCAATACTTTCGCCTGTCTAACTGTAGTGTTTGCGGGTTATAATAGTCGTTAGGAGAGGTTGATATTTGAAGGGGTGGGGAGAAGGAGTCATAGATTTGTTGTGAAAATTAGAGATTGAATCCATTCCTATAATATGGCAGGGGACAGGGCTATACTGAAAAACAAAGACGCAGGAGGAGAGGGTGCAAATGAAATAAGCTTTTTTACCATAAAAATTTCACCAAAGTAGGGCTTTTTTTAATTTAAAAGTCAAGTTGCAGTTTTATCTGACCGAGTCTCAAATTTTCCAAATTACCGACAAAACGGACAGAATGTTGTAACCCTGGGAAGGTGCCCATACTCACGTCAGTACGGCCTTGGCAGGGGAGATTATTTTTGATGTGCGATTATTATTGCACACTACCTACAGGAAGCAGCACATAAACAATATAAGTTAAATGTTCAATAAGCGTACCAAATTTGATTTAATTGACTATTTGTATACTCCATGCTGATTGGGTGTTTATAAACAGTTGCAACAACTTCATAGGCAATTGTCTCTGAGCTGGGAAAAAATAAAAATAATTGAATTTTGCTTAAAACATTTCTTTTGAATAACAGTTTAGTTCGACTGGGCTCTAGGATTCACAGTTAGTAAAGTGTTTAATTACGATAAAATAATATTTATCGCCTTAATAAAGCTTCCTCGTGTGTAAAATTATTATGCGAAAGATTATTGCTTTTTTCAAGCACTAAATCTAACAACTAAATTTAGTTACACTAAAAATTTAGTCGGCTAAATTTAGTTAACTAAAAAGTTAGTCAAGTAATTTTAGTTACCTAAAAAGTTAGCCGGGTAATTTTAGTTAACTAGAAAGTTACTCGGGTAATATTAGTTAACTAAAAAGTTAGTCTGCTAATTTTAGTTAATTAGAAAGTTAGTCGGGTAATTTTAGTTAACTAAAAAGTTAGTCTGGTAATTTTAGTTAACTAAAAAGTTAGTCATGTAATTTTAGTTAGCTAAAAAGTTAGTTGGGTAATTTTAGTTAACTAAAAAGTTAATCAACTGAGTTTAGTTAACTAAAAAGTTATTCGACTAATTTTAGTTAACTAAAAAGTTAGTCAACTAATTTTAGTTCGACTAAAAATTTAGTTAAGTAATTTTAGTTAGACTAAAACTAACCTTAACTCCCACCCCTAATATATATACATTATATTATATTATAAATATTTAAAAATAGCAAAATAATATAGAAATCTACTATAATCCATAAAAACAATATAATATTATCGGAAGTTTTAACTTGCATCTATTGATTTCCTAACAAAGTTTACAGGATTAACCCCCATGACTTGTCAACTCTAAAGTGATTTAATCCATGAGATATACTAAGTATGTTAAAAAGTCAAATGAGATATCAAAGAATATATTGAGTCAAATAATGAACTGATGTATTGATTACCTCTCCATTCACAATATTAATTAGTTCAATACTGTTGGAAAATGTTTCATAAGTCTAAATGAAATATATATACATAGACAAAATAAGTATAAAGTGTTTAGAAAGGACAATTTAATGAAACAAATTTGAAAAAAAAAATTCAAAAATAAAAGATTTTACCTTTGGCAACCATGCTTTACTAAGCACCACATATTTTTGTAAGTCCAAAAGTTTCTAAACACAGATTCAAAAATCATATAAAATCTAAACATATATTTAAAAAAGTTAAAGCTTGTACAAACTAAATGTTTTATGTTGCACATAAATTATTTGAAAACATAAATGAAAACTGCTAATATTATTTTGCTTGTAATTGTTTGTGTATATTAAGGTTTCCCAAACAGGATCAGCAACCCCGTTTCTTCAGGAGTAAAAGTTACAGCGGGATATACCGGGATACGGCTAACACTTCTGGGGATATATCTTTTACTTTAAATAATATTTTTTCAAAATTTATTTTTTCAAATAATATTTTTTCAAAATTTAAGAAAATTTCTTCTTTTTTCTTGTAATTATAAAATAACAGCAAAAAAAAAAAAGTTTGATTTTAAACAACAAAAAATGTTTTATTTGTTTTTTTATAATTTCAAACAGTTGAAAAAACATTTTGCTGTATTGTTAACATTTTGTAGGATTGAAAAACATTTTGCTGTATTGTTAACATTTTGTAGGATTGAAAAACATTTTGCTGTATTGTTAACATTTTGTAGGATTGAAAAACATTTTGCTGTATTGTTAACATTTTGTAAGATTGAAAAACATTTTGCTGTATTGTTAACATTTTGTAAGATTGAAAAACATTTTGCTGTATTGTTAACATTTTGTAGGATTGAAAAACATTTTGCTGTATTGTTAACATTTTGTAAGATTGAAAAACATTTTGCTGTATTGTTAACATTTTGTACGATTGAAAAACATTTTGCTGTATTGTTAACATTTTGTAGGATTGAAAAACATTTTGCTGTATTGTTAACATTTTGTAGGATTGAAAAACATTTTGCTGTATTGTTAACATTTTGTAAGATTGAAAAACATTTTGCTGTATTGTTAACATTTTGTAAGATTGAAAAACATTTTGCTGTATTGTTAACATTTTGCTGTATTGTTAACATTTTGTAGGATTGAAAAATGTTTTCTGTATGAAAACAACTGTAAATAATTGTAAAATAAATAATTTTAAAATTGTTGCTGTATTGTATTATTGAAAAATTAAAAGTTTTCTGTATTAAAACAACTATAACCAAAAGATTATAAACTTATACTATGCTAGAATATTTTTTTAACATATAATTTTGTTGTTGTTATTGTGTTTTGATGTATTTTACAATTCAAAATAACTATACCATATTGACAGTAAGTAATATTGAAGGAATGGCAATATTTTTGTTCAGTAAAATCTGGTAAATCAGCCACCTGCAAAAAGTGCGATATAAAAATATTGTGCAATAAATTTTCTAGAAGCTGGCTTATCTTAACTAAGGTAAAAGATTACTACATCAGTCCAACAACATCAGTAGAGTAGTGACCAAGATCATCTGTACAGTTTTGCTCAAGATTCACTGTATATTTTTTTACTCCAACAACATGTCCAATTTTATCTGGAAATTCAATGACTCCTTAAGACATCTTTAATGACTCCTAACAATATCTTTAGAAAGATGTAACTATATCTAGTAATTTTTCAACAAGTCTATTTTTATCACCAAGAATTTCCTCCTGATGTAATAACTTCTGGAAAAATTTCTTCAAGATTTAATATTATCTGAAAAAAATCTTATATGTAACTACATCTGGTTAAAATAAAGCATTATTATCTAATACTTTTTTCCAGATGTATCTACATCTGAAAAAACAATATATGTAACTACATCTGTTAAAAACTACGCATTAAAATTTAATTATTTCATAAAATCCTGTAGCTATTTTTAATATAATTTAAAAGATGTAACTACATCTGTAGACTTTAAAGATGTAGTTGTTCTTAACATAATTAAAAAGATGTAATTACATCTTAAAAATTTCCATATGTAGTTGCACAGATGTTGTTATATTTAGATAATTGAAAAGATGTAACTACATTGTAGTAATCACAGGCCTTGGCATGAAGCAGGAGTGATCGCTCTTGTCACGAAAAACACGCTTGTTAATGGAATATTTATAAATTGCAAGTGTATTAAAAAACACTTGTTAATTTAGTTACAAGAGTAAAAAATCGCGCTCGTCCTTAAAGTTGGGGGGGGGGGGGAACTAATAATGGGTTACTTGATTTTTTATTATTCTTTTATTATAAAAAATTCTTGTTTAATTAAACAAAAAAGTTCATTTATTGTTTAAAACAAAATAATCTCTATTCACATATCTTTAATAGCCTTTTTTCAACTGGGGTAAAATTATACTTCAATTAAAAAACTAATTTTTTTCATACTAACTTACGCCATTCTATTGAAATAAGAGCGCAAATTTATACGAACAATGAATTTGTGAATGAGACTTCTTTAATACATTTACAGCAAACATTTAACGAAATTAAATAAAACTTTAAAATAATCACTACTCCCATATTTTTTGGCAGTCAAAGTAAAACATTTAAAAAAACTCATTTTCTAACTATTAATATACGTTATTCGGTAAATTAGAGCACGGGTTTCAGTTTTGAATGGAAAGTTTTGAGTTAATAGCCCAATGTTAATAGAAAAGAATTTTAACAAATCTTTATGAAATTTTATTATTTAAATAAAATATTTTCGGTCAAAATTTAACTAATTTTATAAAGCTTTTGTCATTAAAATTATAACTTATATTATTTATAACTTAATTAAAATTATAAATTTATTTGAGAAAAAGAAAAGTTTAAGCTTGTGAAAACATTTGCTAAAAAAGTTATAAAAGTTCTATTAGCGCTAGTAATGGGAAAAAAAATATGTTTTAATGAAAAAAAATTGTTATTTCATTGTTTTAATGTTTTAATGATGCGAAAACATTATGAATTTGTATTTTAATTAAACAAATGAAACAATGAAAAAAACGAAAGCTTATGAACTTCTTTCAAATAAATTCAATGCAATAATTAAAAAAAATTGACTGTAGTATTAAGTTAAAGATGAAGACAATAACAAAGAAAATACATAAAAGATCAATTTATTCTTTAAAACAAGAAGACATTAAGAACTAGAAAAAAGCACAATCAGATGTGATTAAATAATAAATAAGTATTTAGGAAGTCGAAAGAAATTTAAACAATTTGTCAGGCAGAGCCCTGCTAAATAATAATTTTAAAATATTTATTGTCTAAAGAACGCTGTATAACAAATTAAAACTAAATAAAACTGTGTGGAACACCCATATCCAAAAATAAAAGGTCACTCCCGATAACTTAATGACGAGCGCGCATAATTGCGCTCGCTAAAAAAATATTTAAAGTTTACTGGCGCAAAACATCGCGCTGGTTAATTTTCTTCATGCCAAGGCCTATAATCATATACTTTTTACACAGATGTTATCAGACATCAATGAAATTTCAGATATTGTTAAACAGATGTTATTATAGATGCTGATGCTGTCCTCAGCATCTGATGACCTCAGATGCTGAGGACAATTTTAGTGATTGTGATAATTATGATATTATTACATTTTATAAAATTGGCCAAAATGACGAGTCATACACCTCAACAAACATTTCACTGATGATATTCAAAGTTAGCCTATATTTCCTTAACAATTCAAAAGGTTTGAAAAGTTGTTCTAAAGTTCCGAAAATCACTTCTTTAAAATAAAATCTTACATATACCTAAAAATGCTTCATAAAAACTTAAGCTGATATTAATAATGACAAGGTGGAATAATCTTGTTTTAATGTTAGAAAGATTTGTTAAACTAAAATCATGTGTAATAAAAAAACATTTAAAAGAAATTCTCATTATTTCCAAAGAAGAATACGCAGTAATGAATGCAATTTCGCTACAACCAATAAAAGTTGGAATAGAAAAGTTCGTCAGAGGTAATGCTACTCTACTTGATGTAGAAGGTGGTTTTATATTTATCTTGGACAATTTGATTTAGAAAAACAATTTTATTGCTAATAAACTGCTCCAATCTGTGCAGTAGAGAATTGAAGAACATAGAAATAATTTAATTAACTTAACAAAATAACCCATTTACTAACAATCATGAAACAAATATCAATGCAAAATTATTCTAACCAACCATGCATTAAAATTAGCAGCAAAAAAAATCTACCAGGTTATACATTTAGGATGCTAGCAGTACTTCAGCAAATAATAGATTAGTCGACAAGAGTCATCATAATGAAAACAGATTTTGTCAATACCTCAACCATTAGTGTTATGCTATTAAACTAAATTAGCTTCATATTTAAATATGTAAGGATAATATGTATGTGTGTGTGTGTGTATATATATATATATATATATATATATATATATATATATATATATATATATATATATATATATATATATATATATATATATAAATACTTTACCTTGGCATAGGAAATAATTTTTGTAACAAAAAATTCGCCATCTTTTGCCACACCACCAAAAACATCTTTTGATGAAGCTAAAAACAATTAACATAAACCAATTTGACATAATATTATAATTAAATGAAATAAATGTAATATTTATAATTAAATGAAATAAATATGATTTAGTTTCAACTTAAAATATATACAATATTTTTTTAACTATTTATATACTTTTTAAATAAACACGATTGTTTGAAAATTTACATAACTATAATGAATTTATAAACTTTAATTATAATTTATAATTATAAATATAATTAAAAAGTCTAAGTTATAAAAATTGAAGTAAAAAAAATAACTCTTGTCAACAAAAAACTAAATTATCTTTTCAGTAAAAATGAAAACAGTTTTAAAACATTTATTTTTGAAATAGTTTTATTTGCTTTTTTAAAACACAATCTATATACTTAATATAGATTAAAAAAAAAAAAAAACTAACTAAAAAGTGGTCAAAACTATTTCTTAAAATTATGCAAAAATTCTTATTTTCAATTTTTGAATTTTGAAACTTTGGTTGGAAAATTGGTTGGAAATTGAAAAATAAACATTTTTATAAATTAGAATAAAAAAGAGCTTTAAAATAATTTTTAATACTATAATAATATAAAAAAGCATTTTTTCAATATTAAATGTTTAAAGGGATCCCTAAGTGCTCCTAACATATGATCTCATATGAAAGAGCATAAAAAAAAAATATGTACGTTTTTTTTTTTTTTCACTAAATTGTAATAATAAATGCATGCTAACAAAAAGCAATTGCCGAAATCACTGAAAAACAACTCCATTTTGATTTTATTTTTTCACCATTGAAACTCGATTGTTAGTCCTTAAAAATCACGTTAGTACGTCACAACAACTTTAAAATATCTACTTCGATTTTCAAGTAAAAAAAAGTCGTGATTAAATAGTTAAGTTTTAATCAAGTTTTTTTAATTAGTTTTGCAAAAACTGTATAATATCATTCGGTTGAAAGACGTCGTTAAAAAAAAGTTATTAAGTAATAGTTTTTAATAGTTTAGAACTTATAAAAAAGTCTTACAGGGCTCGTATTATGCGTACCGCGATCGCGATTGCTTTTCACACTTTTGTAATAGTTTTTTCTTAAAAAAAATCTTTTCGCAATTTTTTTTTTTTTTTGGTTGTTTAGTTACTTTTTTTCTAGCTTAGCATTTTTTTTAGCAATCCTTAAAAGTAATGTTTTTATCATGAAGAACGTCACACAAAATTTATTATTCTGAATAGATAGATTTGCTCTTTCGCGCGGAGATTTTCTTTCAAGGTTAAACATTTTTGAATTTAAATTACTTTAAATCTCTGCGTGGAAAATTTTTACTAGGTTGTTAAAGCGAAAAGTTGAAAAGTTGGTTTTTCTCTTTGTTTATCAAAACTTCATGTTTAAAATAAGGCTTAAAAACGTTAGAGCAAAAAAAATACTGACTTTTATTTGCATTTTTATACTGTTTGAAAAAAAAAACTAATAAAAAAGAATTAATTGTTATTATTATTAATTCTAATAATTATTAATTAATATATTATTAGTTAATTCTTTTTTATTAGTTTTTTTTTTCAAACAGTATAAAAATGCTAATAAAAACCAGCAATTCTTTTTACTTTAACGTTTTCAAGCCTTATTTTAAACGTGAAGTATATTTCGATTTATTTAACCAAATTTTTTTGTTTCATCTTTTATTGGAAAACTTGAAATATAAAAATTGAAAAAACATCAACCATTTAAATGAAAAACTCAATTATATTTAAACTTTTATTATTCCTTTATTCAAGAAACAATAAATTATAAAAAACGTGGTATATAATTTTTTATTAAGTTTTTGACGATGTTTTTTGATTTATTGACGATAATTTCCCCACCCCCATTCATGCACATCGGCGCGACCTATGAGAGAGAGGGGAAGGGGGGTTAATTTAAGTAAAACATTTTACAATAATTATTTTTTTTATCAAGCAAAAATGAGAATAACCGTCACTTTTGAAACCATAAAAATGACTGAAATAAATTTACTTTTGTACTAAGGAAATATTTTAAATAAACTTTCATGTGTCTAAATTAATATTCATTTGTTAAAAACTGACTAAAAAGAGTTTAAAATTTGACTTCTATTCATTTTTGGCCGTGGATTTGCCCTTATAACACAAATATATAAATTAAAATTATAAAAAAAAATTTAATATACAAATATATTTTCACAAAATGCTACAAAACTTATTCTTGTAAGTAATTGTGTTAGTTGAAAAAAAAACGACTTTACTTTTAAATTTAATTACCAACTAATAAGTTTGCAATAATGACATTTTGTCTACTTTGTTAATTTTGACGTACAAACGTTAGTTTTTTGAGGCAAGCTTTGGACAAGACGCATTTTTTTTAATCGAAGAAAAGCGTTTTTTTGAAAATTAAATTTGTTAGTGTGTGTTCATTATTACGTTTTAGAAAAAATAATATACATCAAACATTTTTTTTTTTAATGCTCTTTCATATGAGGTCATATCTTTATAGCACTTAGGGATCCCTTTAACTTTTTTTATTTGTAGCCAAGTTAAAAACATAAAAGTTAAATCTCTTTAATGAAGCTTCCCAAAAACTTGTAATACTCAATGATACTCAAAAAAATTCAGTAAAATTGATTTCATTCATGTGTTATGACATTCAAGTGTTATTATTGATGACATTCAAGTGTTATGATTGATGACATTCAACTGTTATGATTGATGACATTTAAGAGTTATGATTGATGACATTCAAGATTTACAATTGATGACATTCAAATGTTATGATTGGTGACATTCAAGAGTAACTTAATGATATTGAAAAGTAAATTGATGATATTTAAAAGAGGTTTTACAAAATTGTCCAAAGAATTTTTTTTTTAATACTAAAATGTTTGCTTGTTTCAAACAACATGGCAACATTGTCCAAAGAATTTTTTTTTTTAATACTAAAATGTTTGCTTGTTTCAAACAACATGGCTTCTAGTTTTAAGTTTATTACTACTTTATCGTAACCAAACATCTATGTAGCAACAGATAATTAAGATTTTTACTAAACTTACGATTAATTTAACTAGCATTAGTAATATTTCTTAAAATTTTATTATACTTACAATTTAATTAGTTAGCATTATGAATATTTCCTAAAATTTTATTAAACTTACAATTTAGTTAGTTAGCATAATGAATATTTCTTATAATTTTACTAAACTTTCAATTAATTTAGTTAGCATCATGAATATTTCTTAAAATTTTATTAAACTTACAATTTATTTAGCTAGCATTAATAATATTTCTTAAAAGGCAATCCTAACTTCAAACAAATTTGCGCTCTTAATGAAATGTTATTAATAAAGTTTGAGCTAGACTTTTTTGACTAAAAGTAAATAATAAATGCCAAGAACAATAACTTTCCTGTTTAGAATAAGTATGCACTTTTTTATAATAAATGCATACCAAGAACAACAAATTTCCTGTTAAGAACAAGTTTGCACTGTTTTAGCTTTATCCAAAGGCCTTTATAATAAACTTGCTATTACAAATGCAGATTTGAAAAATCATTTCAAGTGCATTTAACTCATTTCAAGTGCATTTAACTCATTTCAAGTGCATTTAACTCATTTCAAGTGCATTTAACTCATTTAATGAAACATATTTAATTCTATCTTTTTAAACTTTAATATTATATATTTATTCAAAGGAATTTTGAATTTTAGCAAATATCTTTTCCATGACTTTTGTGTGTCTACTATTTCTAACTGTTACTTATACTTTTTTAATCAAAAAAATTCACTTAAAAAATATTTTATTATTGCAAGAAATCAGAGCAAAAAAATTACTCTAAATTCTTAGCTAACAAAATTTCATATTTTATCTCAGAATTTAGGCAACTTTTTCCAAAGTTCTCTAACTTTTTTCATAAAATTCTCTAACTTGAGAACTGAGAACAAAGTTCTCTAACTTAAGAACTGAGTACAAAGTTCTCTAACTTTGGAAAACCTATAATAGCGTCATTAACAAAGGAAAATCTAAAATTTAATCTTCCATGCGTCAGATAAAACTTAATTTTTCATCCATTTGTCAGACAAAGCTCTCTTTAAAATGTGTGAAAAAAAAAGATACAAATAGACATAAAGTATATGATTTTGCCACTTTTTTAAACACACTATTTGTATTTATGAACACACCTTAATTTCTTTTTTTTAAATAAATTATTTACTAAAATGATGACCAACACATATCAATGATAATCCTAAAATGTATATGATACCACAGATAATTTAAATTGCTCAACTCAATTTGAAGACATTTTATTGTCTTTAATTTGAGTTTTGCAAAAAACTTTTGAGAAAACATGAGTAACTTTTTAAATGTTCTGTTAACAAATAAATAATAGTCTTATTTTATTTGTTAATATTGTTTTTTATTTTCATATATTTTCCTGAAAAAATAATAAACTTACCAAATTACTAAAATAATAAAATAATAAACAGAAATATCTATGTTTTTCCTTTTTATAATACATTGATTAAAAAAAAAAGGTGGTTAACGTTTTTTGATGCAAATATTTCACCATTAATATTAAAACCCCTTAGGGTTTTTCTCTTCATGTATGATGTTTGATGTATGATGTTTGATGTATGATGTTTGATGTATGATGTTTGATGTATGATGTATGATGTTTGATGTATGATGAATGATGTTTGATGTATGTTTGATGTATGATGTATGATGTATGATGTTTGATGTATGAGTATAATGTTTGATATTTGATGTATGATGTTTGATGTATGTTTGATGTATAATGTATGATGTTTGATGAATGATGTATGATGTTTGATGTATGATGTTTGATGTTTGATGTATGATGTTTGATGTATGATGTTTGATATTTGATGTATGATGTTTGATGTTTGATGTATGATGTTTGATGTATGATGTATGATGTTTGATGTATGATGTTTGATATATGATGTTTGATGTATGATGTTTGATCTTTGATTTATGTTTGATGTATGATGTTTGATGTATGATGTTTGATGTATGATGTTTGATGTATGATGTTTGATGTATGATGTTTGATGTATGATGTTTGATGTATGATGTTTGATGTATGATGTTTGATATATGATGTTTGATGTATGATGTTTCCAGTTACAGCTACATAATAGTATTATTTTTTTTTTTTTTGCAAATATCTTTAAAATAAAACTAGTGGAAAAAAAGTAAGATCATTTTTTAAAATTTTGATGAATTTTGATTTTTAATAAAAATTTAGGTATTCCATAACTTTTTCCATTGTTGATTTCATCCTTTACCTCTAAGAATCTCTTATTTGTACTTGAATGGAATACTGTTGTCATACTTAGGTTGATTTTCCTAATTATTCTTTTTTTCTTGTAAACAAGATTGTAGAGTTGCATATTTTTTTTCCTACAAAAATGATTCTTGTTTAAACAAAATATCATATCTAGTTAAATTAAGCATAAACCTTTCTCTTTTGACTTGTCATTCAGCAAAGTCACATTCTTTTACTGAATTTTACTGTAAAACTTTAATCAACCTAGTTTCTAGTTTTTAGCTTTGGTGCTGTTGCTTATCGTCGTGTTTTCCTAACTCATTCAATTTATTGTGTGTCTTCTGATTTCATTTTCTACCTCTATAAGTCTCGTATTTGTTCTTGTATGAAATATTGTTTTTAGATTTGGACTAGTTCCTCTAATGAGGCCAAAAAATTAGCAACAAAAATAACACAAAACATCTATTGCCAAACGTAAAATAATATTTTGATTAGATAGATTACAAAATTAAAAAAATGTGTTAGCATTTTGAAGTGCTTACAAATTTTAAAGAGGGAAATCTAAACCATAAATATTTAGCCTGAACAAAATTTAAAAATTTAGCAGAGTTACTCCAACATATCATTAGCTGATAATGGAACGATATATACCAGTTTATTAGATATAAACTTGTTAACCAATTTGTTGGTCAAACCCATTTTCTTTACTTCAATTAATTCACTTTGAATAAAGTGAATACACATCAGTCAGCGAAAATAAAAAAAGCATATCCTTATCTAATTGCATAAATACTATTACAAAAAATAAAAAATTTAAAACAGTGAAATAGTGAACAAAAAAACTTATTATATTTATAAAATAAAAATATTTAAAAAATATTAAAAACTAAACATAAATATTCATTCATTCAAAAAAAGAGATTACTTACTTAGTTGTTGATGGTAATGATTATTCAACTCAACAAGAACAGATGTGAATCTGTGTTTGCACATTCCTTGAGTAAATTCATCAACACTGTGTTTGGGAACAACTTTCAACTGTTAATTATAAAATACTTTATGTGTTACCAATTACATGCAGATATAACAACATATACACAACTTTTTTAATGTTTTGAATTTAGCAATAAAAGCCTATCAAAAAATATTTTTACTATCTATAGTAAATGTTTTGGTCAAATTTTATCGAAAATTCAAAATATAATAAAAGTTTCATAAAAATTTTAAAAAAGATTTTAAAAAATATATAAAATTCACTTTTTTTATCTTAAATAAAAAAAAACTTTTCTTAAAAACAAAAAAAATTTATTTTTTTCTTTAATAAAATCTAATAAAATAATGCTAACATAAAATTAATATTATTTTTAGAATTTTTACAAAACTTTGCTTCATTTAATTATCAGGTAGGGTCATTTCCACACTTACCCTGAGTTTAACAAAAGTTATTATAATATGTTAGATTAATCAAAAAGTAGAAATGCATTAGAAATGAATTTTTGCAACCGTCAATGTAATACCATAAGGGTTAGTTTAAAATAATTCTCACTCTGAAATTTAAATCATAAATGTACTTATTTTGATCAAACTTTTAAACCGCAGTTTTCCATACTTATCGTAAGTGTTTCACACTTATCGTATATATTGTCGACACTTATCGTATATTTTAAAATTTGCTTTAGTGCCCGGTGTAAAATGCATTCGTGGTGTCAAATGAAAAATTAATTCATTAGTAACATTTTATTAAACGTTTTTATGTGTATAAATAAAAAAAAAAGACTGTTAAACAAACATTAATTATATAGTAATAAAAATATTATTATGAATTAAAACTAAAGATTTTAAAGCAATTCCATTACTTTAGTACATATCCTTTAAGTTCTTAAACTGGAAAGGATAGAGTTTCATCATAACTATATGTCTTATTTTATAATTGATATCAATATTTAAATGGAACTCGTTTTCTGACTCAGTTTCAAGGCCTTCTTTTTCTTTTGCGACTTTTTTTTTTTTTAAATTTTCATGTTTTCTCTTTCTTTTTGAGCTTTTTCATTTAATAACTTTTTTTCCATAGCCAATTATTGCTTTCTTAATCTTTCTTTCTCTAATTTTGACTTTTTATCTGCAGCTAATTGTTTTTTTCTTAATTTTTCATCATTTATTTGTGACTTTTCTTCCACTTTTGTCTTCTGAATTTCCTGTCACATTTCAGATGTTACAACCGATGGTAAACGTTCTACTTTGCACTCGAACATTTGGACTGGTTGCTTTGGCTATAAAAAATTAAAACATTTTCAATTTGAATAATTATTTCTGCTGCTATTTTTAAACTGAAAGAAGCTAGTTTTGGTTTTACTACAGCTGCATTATTGTAATCAGGCATTTTCATATTGGTTATACCTTTTCTAAACTACAAGTTGTTGATAGATTTTTATTTATACCCTGTTGTATTTCATCAGGTAAAGGTATGGTCTTATATGCTTCAGATGTTTTGAATTAGCTGCCACATTATCTGAATGGTCTTATATCCTTCAGATAATACCATACTTCTATCTCTTTTCCAAAAATGATACAATTGGAGGTATTCAAGATCACATTTCCAACTTAAATATTCGTCAGCCATTTTAAACTGCTCTAAAATGCTTAAATCAATGCACTTTTCAATAAAGATTATGGAAGAGGAAGCTGATAAAATTACACTTAAAAGGTTCTCTTCTAAATAAGGAGCTGGCACAACAGTTGCCCAGATAATTTTTGAGCAATTTTTTTGTAGTCAATACTATTAGAATCAAATGGAAAAATTCCGGTATTTTTAAACCACTTTTAATATTATTTTCAAAGAAGGATTGATTATAAAAGAATTTAATGCTTCTGGTACATTTTCATTTTTTATTTCTTGTCCTTCATGGTCAATGCACTATTGCGGCAAAAAGATTTCCACTTTGCTTTCATTGGCCCAAAAACTGCCACATCGAGCGGCTGCAAAATATGTGTTGCATTTGGGAACAAAGCAACAAGAATTATTCCATTTTTAGAGCAAAACTCCCTTTTTCGATAAAAAAATTTGACGCATGATCATCAAAAAAATTAATAATTGGTAAAGGAATTTCTTCTTTTATGAAAAATGGATGAAAAAAATAATAATAGTTTGTAATATACTCAAAAAAACATTCTTCGTTTATCTAACCATTTTCTCTTTTTCCAATACCCCATCCTAATGGAGCAGCATTTATAGTTCTATTTGAAAGAGGAACTTATTTAAAAATTGTTAATGATGGTGCAAAAGTTCCGCTAGCATTTACTGCAAACAAAGTGGTGATGCTTTTTTTATTATTTCGAACCCTTTCTTCATATGTATTTTTTCCTCGTTCACCAATTAATAAATTAGTTTTTGGTGACAACTAAAAACCACTCTCATCCATATTGAAAACGTGCATCGAATCATTTAAATATTGAACGTTTTCTCCTAAAAGCTTCCGAATTTCAGTAAACCAATCTCTTTTTGCTTTTTCAGTTACTCCTCTAGCTCGGTTTAAATATTCACCTCATTTTTGAGCTGTTTATGACGGCAAAGAAATGCATAAAACCAACCTTTCGCAGGACGGTTGTTAGTAAATTGTGATTTTATATTGTTAGAATTCAAATATTTTTGCACAGTATCTTATAGCTGTACTACATTGACATTGCAAATCTCTTTCTGGTGCATGTTAGTAACCACTTGAATAACTTGTTTTCAATTTGTTCACCAAGAACCAATTCATACCCGCAGTGTTACATCTTCAAAGAAGTTCTTCTAAATATTTTATCACGAAGCGTCTGATAAGGAATTCCAAATGTCTTGCTTGCTTTGTACACAATCATGCCTTTCTTAACAGCATTTATAGTATCACGTAATTGACTATCAATTGAAGTCTTCGTTTTGAGCTACAATCTTTTATTTTATATTTTTGTCTTGCAATTGTAAGTGAATCTAAGTAAAATAATACTTATTTTTATAGTAAATAAGAAACAAAATTGATTATTCATTGGACATACGATATGTATGGAATGACATTTTTTTTAGTTCATACTTATTGTAAATTCAAAAATACTACATTGATACTACAATGATGAGTTGTTTTAATAATATTAATAATGATTCATGTTTTATTTACCTCATTAAGTCAATTTAGAAATGCTTTATTTGAAACGTTTCTAACAGTTGGTACTTAAAAAAAAAAGTATTTTCATAGGCTGATGTAATAAACCCACTGAGTTTATATAAGTAACTATGTATTGGGGTTTCTATGTATTGTAATAGAAGTGCATGACGATGTTGTTAATACACAAAATGTATATATAAAAAAAAATTACTACTTTTTACAAAATTTATGTTAGTATGTAAAACCTACGATAAGTGTCAACTCACAGTAAGTGTGGAAACGACCCTATACTTATTAATAAAAATAATTTAATATCATTAGGGACCTGATAAATAAAAAACGGGTTTAAGCATAACTAAATATTGGATAATTGACCTTAAATTAACCTTAAATTAATTACAAAAAATAATTACAGCACATGAAAAACACAGAGTTGTGATTTTTTATCTAAAGGGAGGTTTAATGTGCTGTGATATATATATATATATATATATATATATATATATATATATATATATATATATATATATATATATATATATATATACATATATATATATATATATATATATATATATATATATATATACATATAATATGACAACTTGTATATGTATATAAAATACTTCCCAGTTGGCCATAAATATCACAAGATTTTTAATAGAAATACTCTAAAAGTGAGTTACAGTTGTATGCCAAACATCAAATAAATAACTAACTCTCATAATCATCATATAAAGAAAAATAACACAGATTCCAATAAACATTGCAATTGTATTTTTCAAAGCAAGTGCCCTCTAAATCAACAATGCCTTGTTAATAACATAGTGTATCAAGCCACTTTGTACCCCGGCACTCCGGACGGAAACAAAAAGTGTATATTGGAGTTAGTGAAACCACGTTCAAAGTTATTTACGCTTAAAAAAATATAAAAACGATACTGTATTACCTAGGAAATTTTGAGGTTAAAAGAAAGTGGAGTAAGCTACATTAAAACAATGCAACCTATGTCTATATGAAAGGTATGTCATATCTTACACCAATGATAACTTATTAAATAAGAGGAATTAGTTTCTAAATGTAGACATAAAAGCAAATTTCTTGATTCAAAGTTCAATACGGGTAATTAGGCAGCTGTTTTTAGATTTTTCTTTTTGTTATATAAAGTATAAAGTTATTTATTGTTATAAAAAATATAAAGTTACACTTCACTGTAACTTTATATTTTATGTTTTTTTTATTTCTTGATTTTGTATACTTGCCTTTGTATACTTGATTTTGTATACTTGTATACTTGGATGCCTTTAGGCATAAAACTATTAGATATATATATAATATATACATATATATAATATAACATATATATATATATAATATATATATATATATATATATATATATATATATATATATATATATATATATATATATATTTATATATTTATATATATATATAACATCAGGGATGCGGAATCAGAGTTTGGAGTCTCGGGAGTCCATAAAGATTTTGGGACTCCAGGACTATGGTAATATTTTTTGGGAATAAGTTCATAAGGTTCCAAAACTCCTGACTTAAACAAAACAAGTAAATAAAAATAATTTTTTTTTTTTAAGTTTGTGTTATTAAATTAAATTAAAAAGCTAGAGAAGCGGTATGGTTCTAACCACAAGTAATCAGCTCACAGAACCAGTTCATAAAAAACCCATAAAAATATTATAAAAATATTATATCTTATAAAAAATATTTAAAAATTGCTAGCACAGCAATTTTTTCAATGAAATATTTATTTTTAATGAGTGTCTCTAACATATAACTATGTAAACATTTTTGGCAAGTGTATTGAGTGACAATTACTTAATATGCATTAAACTTATATTTATTATTTTTTTAATTTTAAT